GGCTCCATGCCATTCGGGCCCTGAGAAAGGTTGCCTGTGTGGCCAGTTAGTGTGACTGGGAGACAAGATACTAAGGCTAGTTTTAGTTTCCTCTTGTTTTCTTTTTGAACTCTTATTTTTGCTTTGGATTTTTTTATTTCGTTTCTGTTTTGGAAAGAAATTTGAGGTTCCTAAGGGTTAAAACTTAACATTAGGTTAAGAGGAAAAGTAATAAAAGATATAAGGCATGGAAATGCTCTTGGTGGATATTGGAAAGACAAGGATTTCTTTTTTGCTTTGTATTTTTTTTCTCCCTACCTCATCCCTCTAGAATTTGGCATTCTTAATAAGTGAGTAATGATGTAAAATTTCCTTTGCATGAAACCAGTAAGACCAGTGTGAAATTATGGTTTTAATGACCAAGAATTTGACCTGAATATTATGTCTGAAAGGGGCATGTATGGACTGTAGTTGTTACCAGAAAGCCTTGAGGAACTAAGATTGACTTTGGAAACTAACAAAAGTCTACTGGAGAAATGTCTGGGTACCTTGTTTGGTCATGTAGTACATGGCAGACTATCTGGGGGAGGAATGAAGCATGCTTTCCTGAGAGATGGCAAGGAGGAACCATAAGATACAATGGAAACCTCAAGGACTTGAAGAATACAAGTACTGCAGGCAAAGGTGTATGGCATTTGTGGGGTGTGGCTTCTATGAAGGGCTTAGGGTCAATCTGAAGGTTCCTTGTGGAAGATCCAGCAAAGCAGACTTAAAAAAGCCTATGTGTTCAGTGCTGCTTTTGTTATTTTTATGCAAACAATGAGGCAAAATTGAAAACCAGCAGTCTTTTTGAGGTAATAAGGGTGATCTCAGGGAGAGTTGAATCAGATTTTTTTTGAAGGGAAATCAAAATGCTCAGTTGTGACCATTGGACTCTAGTGCAGCTATCTTCAAAGTTTGTTTTTACTTGAGAATTGAACTGGTTTAACCTGACAATATCAAATTGTTGCTGCTTAGTATCATTCCAGCAAAGGCCTTGCAACTGAGCATCTTCTCAAAGACAGTTTTGTAGACTCAGACATGGTGTAGACCCCACTAAAAAGCCTACCTGCATCATCACCTCTTGAAACTCAATGGTGTAGCTGGACTAAATGAGTTGTTGAAGAATGGGGCAGCCTATCAACTTTGCTTCAAAATTGCTTTCTTTTCTGCCTTAACAGTTTGGACAGAAAGAGTGTATTGTTAAAGGGAGGAATCTCAGGATATTCCCCTAAGGCTAATTTAAGCTGAGTTACAGTAGGCAGTAAGGCTTCAGACAGGGGTGACATGCCTTGTATACCTTCCTCCAAGGAAGCCATTTTTTCTTAATCAGGGACACTAGAATTAGTCCCGGCCTTTGTCATTCAGTTGTTATGGGTTTGACTGTGCCTTCTAACAATCTTGCCAAATGTGTCACCTCCAGAACACAACAAGGATGCCAACTTGTCCAGTAATGCCATCCTTTGGACATTGCACATGCTGCTTTTCAGGGACAACCAACTGACCTGGACTTTGCAAGATCCTTCTGCCTCACATGGAGGCTCCCCTCCATCCAGACCTACCTTGTTAGGGACCTATGGACCAGAGGATAGGTAGGACTACACGCCTTGGTCAGCAGGAAGTAATTACAAAAGAACAAGACTGTTGTCCATCTGCCTTTGTAAGATTACAAGTGTCCAGAGTGTTAAGGGGGTAATTGTAATGGGGCAAACACCCCCTGCCCCTAGAAATGGGTAGGTATGTAGAAGTGCCAAAGATAGAGCACGGGTGCATCACCCCAGCAACCAGAATGACACATGTATGACACAGGAAAAAAACAGGCATGAAAGGTGGCACTAAAAACTGGGAAGGTGATTGGATGGGCAGGATACACTATCCCAACTGCTTCCATTGCCTGGGGTAATCTGGGGGAGACTTTAAAAGGAGAGTGGGTGGGAATGCTGCCCTCCTAGATTCTCTACCCTCCTTCCCAGCTGATGGGGCCTTGGAGGCTGGGTTGCCTGGGAGCATTTCTCAGGGCCCCTCCCTGAGTGCTCCAGGGCAGGCTTGGAGTGCAATGAGCTCTGGTAGGAGGGGAAGGGAGGAGGCTCAGGCCAGCAGACTCAGAGAGACTGGGGCTAGCAAATCCCGCACCCCTCCCCAGCAAGGAGCTGTGGCAGCTGCCTCCTACCAGTGGTCAATGCCAGCAAGCCCCATGCCCCTTTCAAGGCAGGAAGCCATGGTGGCCGCTACCTGCCCATGGCTCATGCCAGTGCGGGCCAGTAGGCTATGCCCTAGTGCAGTTGGGGAGGGTCAGTCTCCACTCCCCTCCCTGAGGGCTTCGGGCCTGACCAGGAGCACTGCAGGTGCTCAGAGCAAGCCCAGTAAAAAAGGGGGTTGCAGGGTGAGGGAAGAGGAGATTTGGGCAGGCAGGTCCTGGGAAGCAATGTGGCTGGACAACAAACCCTGCGCCCCTCCCCTGCATGTGAAGCTCTGGTGGCCAGCCACCAACAGCCTGCTCACTCCTCTGGCGGTGTTGGCAGTGGGGGTGGGCATCAAGCAATGGTGTACATTTATAAGGAAATAAAAATTCCATTTCCCTTTCTAGCGGACTGTCTCTTCAGAGTTATTGCCTGTGGGCAGCAGTCGGTGGGACCCCACTAGTTTGGTTACAGAGTGATGCTGGGGGCTTTCATTGGCTGGAGATCACACTGTGCCTCATTCTGGGGAAAATTCCCTGCTGCCATGTACTTACTTCACACAGGAGGCTGGACTCTAGTCAGACAAATACGCCTCATTTCTCTTCATGAGTCGTGTCTACGGGTACAGGAACTGCTTTTAGTACATCCACGAAATGAGTTCACGTTCACAAGTGACTGTATGACCGTGGGAGACACTGAGTCCTCTGACAGTTTTTCACGGACCAGAGGGCATGGAAGTCTGTTATATAACTATGTATCAAATGTGCTAGGAAGTATAAAGTGGGAGGGACAAAGGGCCAGTGGACGTCAAAGGAAGGAAACACTTCCCACTGGAGGGACTGGAAACGAGACCTGGAATAAGCAGCCATTTTTGCCACGTGAAATGGGTGGGGGCCCATTTCAGACCCAGAACAGAGGGAGTCAGGATGCTCGGAATTGAAAGCACAAAAGACTGTAAGGTAGACGATGTCCTTTCGTACCAGCTGGTAATGTGGGTGAGAGAAGCTTGAGGCTGGACTGTGAAAGCTCCATGGTGCCATAAATGAAGAATATTCTTGCAATCTCCCCCCAAACCCCCAAATCCCTTGTTTACCTGTATATAACTAAATTCTCATACATCAGATGTGTTTCATTTTTAGGCAGTAAATCATGTCGGTTGTTTCACTCAGCCTTTCCCAAACACCAAGGAACCCTTTAGACAGGGGTACACCCACAGACTCCACAAAACACCGCCCCTGAGAACACGGCTGGGAAACCCTGCATCGCTTGGACACAGCTCCACTCCTCGTTTGGACAGACACTTCCCTTCTGACAGGGCTGCCTCCACTGCAGAAGGAAGTTCCAACTTGAACTTTTGGCTCTAATGCCCAGAGCCGAAGTGCAGCCCCGTTGAATAAGGATGACAGACGGCCTGACCAAGAAAACTGCGTCGTCAGAACAGCAGAGCTGCCCACTCACTGATGTCACATACGTCGGTAACTGCGATGCTCTGAAGAAAAAACGGCACACATTTCTCAGTGCCTCTAAGTATTTAGGCACATGATTTGGAATATTTTAGCTTTTCCCGCTTATTTATGTTTTGTACATCAGGGATTAGCAATGATTATTTCTGGGCAGATAAAATGTTGGGGGTTAGTCAGCCCTATGTAAGCAGGAGATGTGGGATTTCTGCCATCAGACCTGGGCTGTGCTCACTCTGCTTGTGTGGTACCACAGATTTTTTAATTTTTGCAAAAATGAACAGAAGCAAACATTTCATTTACCAGCCCCAAGGCTCTGCACTTGCCCACACTGCGCACCCTGTTCACCTCAGGGCACTGGGCTAAAACTCACCTCCTAGAGAGGCCTCCTTGGCCACCTTCCTGCAAGTGCCTCCCATACGTCCAAGCCATTCTCTACCCTCTCACTCTGTTTATTTTTCCTAAACTATTTTACACTTACTCAAATAATTATCTGTATATTTACTGTCCATCTCACAGATGACGAGAAGATGTTCAATGAGAACAAGAACTCATTGTATGCAACCATCTTTGGGAGCTTAAATGGGGAGACGCAGTGGGCAGGGAGCAGAGTTTGGGAGTAACTTGTGTTAATTGGTCTTTGCTAGACTGGGAGTCAAGTTTTATTGTTTTAACAAATTCGAGGAGCAAACTCTGCCACTGAGCTTGTCCTGGGTGAGGTTCTGGGAAGGGTCCGTGGGGAGGACACTCCTACACGGTCCCCTCTCCCTCGTTTCAGGCGGCCCTGACCTGGCACAGCAAAGGCCACAGCCTGGGCTTCATGTGAGGAGTCCAGATGAGGAAAGGAATAGTGACCATACCTGGAAGTGGGCTAATACAGAAATGAAACTATAACAGTTGTTTCTAAACTGCCAACCCTTCTCAATGTTTGAAATTCTTCCTACAGAAATTACTATTTACATACACAAGACTAACTCCTTCAAGGGACAGAAATCTTTTCCACAATGAAACACTTGTCTCATGTTTAATTTTAAAAAGCCCAACTTCAGAGGGCTGGGACAATGGCCACACATGTTCCAAAAGTAAAAATGTTCCAATAGAGTAAATGCAACCAATGCTATTTATGAATAATGGTTACTGAGAAATGTAGACAAAAAAGGAAAAGGAGGAAGGGAAGACAGGAGGAAGGAGACCCAATACTTGCATTTAATTAAAAGTTTATCTTTCATATGTAGCTAAGCATTGGCCAAGGAAAGTAGGTTGAACTTGAGTATGTGCTGCACACCTCTCATTAACAGTGACTGTCACCCTACCACTGTTGACTGACATCAACAACACTCACCTGCAAGCAAATGGCCAGGTTCACTCTACAGCCAAACGAGGTGCTAACAGCCCGCTGATGGAGGCCCAGGTCTTTGAAGAGTTTTGAGAAGGACTGGGTGAGTGCTATTCGAGGCCGTTCTTCTGCCACCACCACACAGGTCCTTACACGGGACAAGTCCAGTCCTTGTGCCTACAAACAATGACAGCAGTGAGAGATCAGCCTTCCCAGTGCTCAGCTGTGTGACCTCCTTAACCAGACCCACCCACTCAGCAGAAACTCCACACAGACTTTTGTTTCGAGGGTCCAATGGCTGCACACCATTAACTGAAACAGTCTAGAATGTCTGTGTAAAAAATATAACCAGCACACAGATAACATGATCAGGGATGCTACTACAAATATATTTTAAATAATGGCAAGAAGCAACAGCAAGAATGAGGAGTAGAAAGGTTGAGGAGAAAGAAGCCAGGCCCTGTACAAAATAAGGTTCAGGGTTTGGGGAAGAAAGGAAGCATCTGAAAAGACCGCTACGGACATGGATGCACGGAAACTGGAGAGAAATAGGAAAACCTATTTCTAATGTAGAAATGGAAAACTAAAATGTTTGGAGAACTTTTACAAAGCAGCTTGCCTTTTATGTTCCATGAGACTTCACAGGTCAGAGAGAAATGCTCATGATCAAGGGCATCTCTGTTTCTAAGGTCCACACACCTCTGTCTGTACCAAATTCAGTTGATGGAGCAAAACCACAAAATTCAGAGGAGGAACAACCAGGTGAGTTTGCACACTCTCTGCAGTAAGAGCTGGGACCTGCTAAGAGGTAGTGGCTGCGTCTGAACGTGAATTGAGCTTGAGTGGTGGTGTCTCAGGGAGGACAATGGCCACACGCAAATCCCTTTAGTGCCTCAAGCACCTGCAAGGTGCCTTGGCATAGGGAGAGCTGACAAGGCTCCTGAACTGAAGAGGGCAACACACACATAGAGTGTTGACACTGAAATGTAGTCTATAAACGTGGTTTTATATACATAGAGTCACACAGGGAACATTAAACCCTGGGCAAAGCAAATGATATACATCGGGAATGTTTTGGGACACAGTGTAGCCTGGGGTTTGGGATGGTGGACCTGGAGTCAAAGATTCAAAATGTAGTCCCCAAATTCATTGAATGTAAGAACCTGGAAAGGGTGCTCAATTTTCCTGTAACTTATATTTCTTCATTTTTAAAATGAAGACAGTAATTGTTTCTATTTTAGAGAGCTGTTATGAAGGTGAAATGAATCAAAATGTAAAGTGCTTAGAAATCACTCAATTTTGATATTATTTCACTTTGGTTATTTATGCCCCTACAGGGAAATTTGATGAAATGCACTTATTCATTTCATTATGTAATAGAGGTGAACATGAGTAATAATTATGTTTTACAAATTTCTTTTCCTGTATAAATATATAACTTCAAGTAATTATACATTTATTTATGCAACCTAATTTCAAATTTACATTGTATTTCACTTGCTCAAATTTACATTGTATTTCGCCTGCTCAATTCTAATCCATTAAGTTGATAAAAAACATTCAGGGGAGGCAAGTGCTTTACTGTGTGTGTGTGCATACAAATGCATACACACGTACACACACGCACACGCACACACCCACACACACAAGGTCTGTCTGGATATGTACACAGAAACCCACACATCTGGGCACAGAAACAGTAAACAGAAATGAACACAGGTGATATGATTATTTCCTCCTTGTTCCTTGGATAAAGACTGCTTAATGTACCATGAAAATATGTCTATTAGTTGTCCCTGGTTTACATGAAAGGAAATGCTATTATTGTCATAAACACCACTGTTCACTTAACTGTAAAAATGAATTTTGGTTAGGATTGCTTACGACCTACAAATCAGGGTCCTCAAGGTAAACAAAAAATGGGAGCTAAATCTAAACCTATGACTTGAATACCAGTGTCAGAATCACATGAACTGTGCTGAAGAACTGAATCCACCAAGTAACAAAAAAGCAATTTGGGGCCCTTCAAGTAGACCTAATGGGATTCAAAACATCAATAACATCATTCGTACTCTTTGGATGGGGCAGTGACAAAATATTCATGTCATAAAATGAGGTTTTCACATGAAAACAGCTTTGTAAGCCCTCACATTTGTGAAGTGTTATTATTCTAACTTCGCCAAACCCTTTTCATGCCCTTGGACACTGCTTTCCCAGGACACTGGGAATGTTCTGCAGGCACTGCGAGGGGTGGGGGGTGCTTACCTTGAGGGATTCTGTCTGCGAGCCTAGCCCCTTGGTACAAAGCTCCATCACCGAATAGGAGCAAAACGTATCCCGGACTTTGTACTGACTGACGGCCAGAAGCCACAAAGCAGGGTTGGTTTCCAGCTCAGAAGGCGGAATGAGAATAGACTGGTGCCCAGAGTAGACGCTGCAGAGAGAAATGGAGAGGTTAGTGAGGATGCAGAGGAGCATCCAACCTCTGCCTGAGAAAGGCCTGTGCTCCATGTGCAAGAGAGGGGCAGTCACAGCTACTCTACACTTAGATATCTTTAAGCAAAAAATGAAGGCGTGTTCATGAAAACACTGTGAAAAACAGGAAAGAACTATAGAAATTATGACTGAGAGTTAGCACCAAGTTGAGGACTCACCTGAAACATCTAAGCTGTGATGCTGTGGGGTTTCTCTCAAAGCCAGTACTAAACAACAACCTGGGTTCTCTTTCACAGCAGGAAACACAGAACTGAATTTTGGTAAAACGTGGTAGAAGGGGGCTTAGCAAACCAGAGATGCTGCCTGTCTTTTGTAAATGAAGTTATTTGAGACTCAGCCACTTGCTGGTTTAAACACAGTCCACAGTGGCTTTGCACCAATAGGCAGGGCCAACTGGGTGCAACAGAGACCATAGAGCCCAAGACATTTACTGAAGGGCCCTTTGAGAAAAAGCATGCCTACCTCTGGTTTAGAACGCCAACACCCAGAGCAAATGAAAGAAAACGAACACAGATGAAGTTTGTCACTCAATTTTTAAGGTTTGAAATTTTGCTTCAGAATAATCCAAACAAATCACCAAACAGGAGAAATAAGGAAAACACATTTGCATAAGAGAACACATTTAGAGAAATGAAGGAAATGCTAGGTTACACATTTTGATTGGTCATCAATTGGTGGAGCAAGTGTGGTTTTAAAATAATGGAGTATTTGTCAAAACTGCATTTTTAATGGTTGCTGATGATAGATCAACATTAACAGATGTCATGCATTATAATAAAATATCCTCAGTTAATAATCTAACATTGAAGAAAAAGGGATTTTCCAGGTACAAACAATCTGGAAGGTAGGTGAAAAGCACAGTGAGCCTCAACTACTACACCATGATACTAAAACCAGATCTTCTGGAATGAAGCCAATCTCACATTAAAATTTCCACAATTGTTTACAATAGACTCCAACTGGTTAAAAAATGTGAGGAAATGAAGTTGACTCACAAAATCTACTTTCAACAGGGCCCTCAGCAGAAAAACGATTCTTCAGGGCATGCCGGGGGTGGGGTGGGGTGGGGAGTTCTCTTTTTTCTCTTATTCCTCTAGTCCAGTTTCATTTATTTTTGTCAAAAGGAAAGAGCAATCTTTGACCTTTTCTGTGATCTTTTTAAATGGTTTAATTATCTGAGATTTGTGTTTGGGACATTAATTTAGGCCATTCAAAATCACTTTATATTAAAGGTATTCAGAGGTCAAGGAACATCACAACAAATATATCTACATCACAAAATACTAATACAAGCCGATATTTTATTTTTTACTTTTGAGGCATTCCATATTTTTCTTAAAATAACCTTCCAAGAATTTTACACATGGCATCTGAAAACAAAGCCAAATAACTCCTTAGCTCCAGTAACATATCCAGGGACCAAAAGATTCTGCCCCCTCATACTCACAGAAGTTTTGATAGGGGACTCCAGACTTGGAAAATTTTACCTTAAGATAAAGTTATAAGTCTAACAGGCAATGAGTATGTTAAAGCTTTTGTTTCAGAAACTACAGATAAAGCTGGTTCTGGCTCCTGGGAAAACCAGCCAGACTTCTGGGGCACTGGCTAGACATTACCGCCTGGGGACAAGTTGGAGGCATCCGTGCCTTTTGTCCTCCAGGGGAGCAGAGGACCACTCCCCCCTTGGGAACAGCTAACTGCTGAGGACAGGAGTGTTGCAGCTTCTGAACCTCAAAGCCCTCACTGCACCTTGTTTGTCTTCCCCACCCCTCGTAAAAGGTCTTGCAAGGAAAGAGAAGGGAAGATGGTTTGTTAGGGTATGAACCCGCCATCTTCTCGGATCACCGGCCATCTGAATAAAGCACCCATAAAAGATTCAATCGCTGTCATTGCTTATTGGATTTGGTAGTTACATGCCGCCTAAATGCTGGTGTCTTTTCCGGTTGCAGTCCCAGGCCATCCTTAGAGACCTAGTCTTTTTTGCAGGGGCTGGAAGAGGTGAGGGACACAACACTCTCCTCGCTCCTGCTGCAACCCTGTTCCCCAAGGTGGGCAGCCTCTGAGAATGCTGACAGCAAGCTGAAGGGAGTTCCTATGACTGATCCTGTTGGAAGCTGCTATTCTGTTTTGCTGCGGTGGGTGGGCCGTCTTTCAGTCCTCCTCTGTCACTTGTGCTGCAGTCACACTGTGCTGCAGAATCAGCCTGCACACTACATCTGGTGTGACTGAATTAGAGCAGTTCTTAGTAGCTAATGTGTCAACTCCAGTTAGAAGCCTCAAGGCAGCATGAAGCAAGAAGAAATAAAAATAACAGAAAATTTATCTCTGCTGAGTAGATATTAAAAGAAAATCTCAGGCCCAAAGCGGGATTGTGTACTAGGTCAAAGATCTAATGTGTAGGCCTAAGATCTAACAAGCCTGCACGTCACACATCGAATAAGTCATAATTACCCCCTAGGAAGTGCAAGTCTTGATACAGATACATTTTGATACAGGGTGCAGCCAAGAGGGGGCCCCCCAAAAAGGGATTTGGAATGGTATCCAAAACTCAAGGTGTATGGGAATTATTGGAGAGACATATAAGATGTCCTCACCCCTTTCTCCACAGGTGTGAGTTGGGGGAAGGGACACATGGAGCAGGAACATGCAGGGCTGTTTTGTACAGCCACAGCCTTGCAGCTAAGCCATGGCAGGGTCTTTTACTTATCTATAGCCTTTGGTAGGTCACTTGGATATGTTAAATGGCTGTGGCCAGGCTTGGAGCCAGGGGGATAGAAGTCATCCCCCCCAAGATGTAACTGGGGGGCAGGTCCCCCAAGTTATAGCGCCTGCATGGGAGCTTGGAGAAGACTGGCTCCAGGACATGGGGCCATACCTGCCCAGACTCACAATGGTAGCTCAGTAAACTTGGAATAATACAGGAATACTGGCAGGTGTAACATTGTGGCAGGAGTCAGAAATGGGCGTACAGAGGAAGATTGACGTGGGGATTTAAACCCAGACATGACAGCCATTGAGGGAGGGAGCCATGCAGTTTTAGAAGAGTGAGGACCCCCTCGTGGCCAGGTGAAGGAGAACCACGTGGCTCTGTCAGAGTGGGGACCCCTGCAGCCAGGTAAAGAAGAAAGTCACGTGCTTTTGGTGGAGTGTAGACTCCTGCAGCTTTGGTAGAAGAGGACCATGTGGCTTTGGGGTGCTCCCTTTGGCCGAGTGGCCTGGGAAGCAGGAGAGATTTTGCCTGGAAAAATGGGTACAAAGAACTCTCACCAGTGGACCGTGAGAAGGTGTCACATGACTTTGTATTAATTAAAGATCCTGCCTGGACAGAGACATAGCTGATGGTGCCAGCAGCCTGGAAACACAGGCGTGTGCTTTTTTCCTGAGTTACAGTACCCTGAATTAGGGCAGGGGGAGAAGGAAGCCCTGTGTGGGTAGGTGGATATCCTAAAGGACTTTGATATTTTAATGAAGACATTAGGTTACTATTTTAAGTCTGTATAGTATTAAATAAACATTTCCTTTCCTTTTCACACATCTCTGGCATTGAGAGATAGCTTTCCAATTGGCAACAGATGATCGAGCCCAGTAGGTGGTCCGGACAGTATTGGTATACCATCCTCCAGAGTCTGGGCCCGGTGTGCCTGTTCTGTAACAGTTTTATGTTAGCGCTGAATGTCATTCAACCCACTTGTGAAGCGGGGTTAACACCTCCACCTTAGATTACCCTGTACAATTTTTATGGTGGCTCAGATCTGCACAGCTCACACCAAGGACTTTTACATTTCAGTGCTGGTACCAAACACGTCTGATGGCCCTTGAGCCTCATGTTGTAGGGAACTAAGATGTAGGAGAAACCTTATGATGACATTCCTCTTAATGTAACAATCTAGCATTTATGTCTTGTTCCCAGCGTCTTACTTCATAAATGCTATAGCATGAAAGGAGATCCAAAATGAAGAAAATTAAATACAAATCACTTACTACCTCTCCCAAGAATACATATCAGCAGGAGTGATTTGATCAGAAGCATGAGCACATGGAAGGGTGGCTAGCACACTGTAGAATTCGGGGTTCAGGAACTTTAAGCAGAGCTGTGAAAATCAGTAGGACAGAAGCCGATAAATCCTGATAACACAGGACAAGCAGAAAACCTGATTCGTGAGTTTTCTACTTGCTCTTTCCTTGCTCAGTCTTATAAGTGTTGATTGTTTTGTGTACTAACCAGTATTGATTTGTTGGCACTGGCTGTGAATACCTGCATGGACAAGACAAACCCACTTAAAGGCAGGTTGCTGGTAATGAACTACAATTATTTTTTGAGAATTTCTGTAACCTATTCTAGTGTAGATTTTAACTTCAAAAAGAACAAAATGATTAAGAAGACACTTTGGGGATATTTCTCCCTGTCTGTGGCCTGTATTTTCATTCTCTTGACAGTGCTTTTTGCAGAGCAGAAACTATTAATTTAATAAAACCCAGCCTGTCAATTTTTTCCTTCATGGATTGCATCTTTGGTGTCATATCTAAAAAGTCATCAGTCATCATCAAACTCAAGGTCATCTAGGTTTTCTCCTGTGTTATTTTTTAGGAGTTTTATAGTTTTACTTTTCACATTTAGGCCTCCGATCCATTTTGAGGTAATTCTTGTGAAGGCTGTAAGTTCTGGGTCTAGATTCTTTTTTTCTCTTCTGCATGAAAATGTCCAGTTGCCCCAGCACCATTTGATGAAGAGACACCCCTTGTTCTACTGTATTGCCTTGCTCCTGTGTTAAAGACTGGTTGATAATATTTAGGTGGGTCTATTTCTGGTCTCTACAGCACCAGGAGTGCTATAAAGACACAAATAATGGGCCCTAATGCAAATTTGAGGCTCTGGGTGGTGATGACATGTCAACATAGGTTCCTAGACCACAGAACATGTACCATCTGGTGGGAGAT